TATATGATCGTCAACTGCGCTTCAAAGGGTTTAACCCGATTATATTTTGTTCCCACACGTTTGTTTACATATTTCCGTTTTGATGGTGCTTTTATCAACAGCATAGTTGCAGACTGTCCTTCATACGGTTTAACGCCATTATATTTTGTTCGCTCCCGCAAAACATTACCCAGTGGATTTCATACACAATAACCTTTTCACGCGCACGTTTTTTTATATATATATTTCATTTTTGATGCCGCTTCTATCATCAACATATTGACAATGAAATGTTCTGCTTACCAGGTGTTTATCAAATGACATGCCGCTATCTTTTAAAATCGATGCCGGTGTTGGCGACCCGGAACACAATTATCCCGCCAAATGATTAGGTCTGCCGCAGTCTAGGAGTAACCCATATATGTATATATATTTACATATATATAAAGTTCGCCTATATAGGAGTCTATTACATCCATACATATCTGCAAATACTGAAAGAATTTTCGCGGTAACTGTGAAACATTGTAAGCAAAGTTAAGAGCGTTAAAGCAAATCATTCCCCAAGCATTGGAAGAGAAATTTTTATTACGTATTGGGTGTCTATCAGCTCAAATTCATGTAAAATTTGACGCTTTATTATGTTTTATCATAACTTGGAAGTATCCCAAATAAGCGAGGCTGTACGCAAGGCACTCATAAGATCAATACTGTTTAGAGCGCGAACAAATCTAGTTGAAGACCGACATTTATTATCAAGCAGTTAATTTGTAAAAGTACGTCCCGCACACGTTCGCCATCTGATATTCATAATTGCAACACGGACCACTTAGATGCGACAGTAATCGCTGACAAGTAACTGAGAGTAAAACCGGATCCAACTGCTTCATCAAAATCATTGTCATCGCAGCTGGCGCCGGTCATCGTAATTCACACCGATGGCAGTAATAGAGCTCAACCGCGAATAATTCATTTTTCCACATATTGCGGCCGATACCTGAGCGACCACATTAATAATAGTGCTGATTTGCGTTTCATTCACATTTTTGACAAAACGCTGACGCCAGACAGATCCTGACTAAAGCAATTTTGGGTTTTTCAACATCTCACCAAGACTCCCACAAGACCTGCTAAAGAGCGATGAAAATTTTAGCACAATATTCTTTGATTATTATATTCCGAGAATTGATTTCTGTGTTCGCAGAAATCATCCTAATTCCTAACGCCCACGATTTCATGGCAGGTTTATCGGATGTATCGGATGTGCCACAGAAATATTCGCCGCACATTCAAGTTATGCAGATTGATTTTAGTTAGATGCGTAGTGACTAACATCTCATGTTCTTACATATTGCGAGAGCCGCTTAACTTAATTCGTCATTTGACTCTTTGGATTGGGGCAATAACCAGGTGTGCCTCAATGGCCTCACCTGGGGTTCAGTTGTTCAGTATCGCTTACCAAAATTGGCTAATTGTGATATTATTAACCCAATCATGATTTGCGCTGCGTTGTGGTCATTATGATCCCATAAGAATGATTGGTTTGAAGAAGGCTATTGAGTGTTTGTGATCCATTTTTGATTGGCTGGCACCAGGTGGTGTTGTGGATTTTGTTGAAAATCCATTCGAATTTGGATTGTGTGCTAGGGCCGAGCAACTGCTTGCGACCATTTGCGCTTGCCGTTACAGCGCAAGTAATTTGGGTGTTGTTGACGACATTCGCGTTTGTATAAAGCATCCCAACTGCAGTTCATATGTATCTCCTGATAAAGCATTTCGATCTATTATTCCCTGCTCATCAATTTTTGTCATTGTTTCACATAACGAAAACTAGCTAACGGGTATTAGAAAAAACTGGGGATCAGCACGAAACCTTTGTCTCCGAAATAAGCATTAAACGTCGTCCAGAGCTCTGCAAAGGAACCCAAAAGGAGATTACGTTAGATTATGTAGACCTGGTGAGGTACACGATCTAAGATGGTCATCTGTGGAGAAGAAATGTTGAAGAATAACAGCATTCTTAAGCGAAGAAACTGAGTAATGATGTCTTTTTGAAATTCATTGAAACCTGGACCTTCAGGAAAGTGTCCGGCTTCCATTCAACTGATTTCGGCTTGGTTAGTTACCATCAACAATGCCTAATCATTCAAACGAGAAAGCATCCAACTTCACTGATTATTTGTTTCAGATAAAGCAATCGGCATTGAGAAAAATAGCCGCTTTTCCCTCATAGGCTGAACTTTGTTGCTCATATTAGAGGTGATATCACTAGTGTACGTGTTAGTGCAAATTAGTCTATTTCATAGTGCACATTAAATTCCGCAGCTTTATTGCTACCCATCAAATCAACTGAGATTAGAACTCGTTCCAACCAATAAATAAACAGGTAAATTGTGCAGATTGTATAATGCTGATATTTACTTGGAAGCCATGAGCAAGAGGCACCAAAAGGTGATGATTTGAATGATTGTTGGTTGACCTGATGTACAGATGAAGCCAATGTATAGTGGCTCAGTGTCAATTTCATGAATGGTACGTTAATCGCATACATGACATGCACTTGAAGATATCGCAATCAAGTATGCACTTGATATCCGAGAATTCAGCCTTTTATTGCACGACTAGATGTCAAGTCCACGTTTGGCCTCATCATTCATCCACTCGGTTTTAGAGTTGTCTTTTTCAGGTCGTGAGAAGTTTAGTGAGATTGCGCGTATTAGTAGCCAAAATAACAAAGTTGGCAATGTTTTGGAATGTAGATAGCTTGGGTGCGCTGCTTGGTTGTTGGTCAGTTCGCCGAGCTTAGCAATTGGGTTGCAAACGTTGCATCACCAATCGCGGTGAAATCGTCAGTGCAGGGTTGAGTGGTTGGGTAGACCCACCACGTCCTCATAAGCCAAATATATTTTTTGTAAGAATGTGCAATCCCAAATGTGTGTTCAGAACTTCGGGAAAAACAACCGTAAAGCATCTTCTTGTGGCCCGCGGCCTCTTTATTGTATTGTTACACACTCCCGCAAAAAATGTGCAGTGCTCATCAAATTTCCGAACAAAGAAGGTGAGGCACGAAGCTGTTGTGGGGGGTTCATGGCGTCATGTTTGAAGAAAAATCTGCTAATAAGTATAATTAATAGTTTAAATGTTCTTTATCGACAGAAATCAGAGACCGTTGTCCAGGTATAGGTGTGTAAATTGCAATGCTTGCCGACAGTCACAGTTGCGGATAAAATGTGGACATCTTCTTTCGTGTTGTCTTCATTTCCCTGCGGGCGTTTCTCACTCTGGATGATGGTGTTTAACGCAACACTTTAGTTCAAGCAGCCGCTGCCCACGTGAGCCTTAGATTGTTATCACCACCGTTGATATAAATCCAATTATAGATGTTGATTTTCGTCAGCATGAATAAAGGAAAACCCAAAGAGTTACTGTTATCGCGCTCAATCACTCACCTATCTCTGATCCACCCGCTGTAGGGTTATGGTGAAAAATGCGAGAAAAACTACTAGAAAGCCGTTGTTTACTAAATGTTGTCTATGTGGGCTTTGAAATCAAACTTTCCAGAAGATCAGCTTGGGCCGTATGCATTGATATTGACTGGAACATTTGAAGTTGACACCTACGTATTTCGATTGGGCAGTCGTCCAAGCTCAATCCACAGTAATTGTGATTCACTGATTGACTCTTGATATCTATCAGTTAGGCTTATCCATGTTTCTTGATAACTTAATTTTCCGAATCGGTGTTTCTGTTGATCTTTTAGGAGGTCTTCAGCAGTAAATATCACTAAAATTTATTCGGAACTCGTGGAACACTCTGCGGTTTACGAATAATGTCTGTACTTCCGTAAGCGAAGACTTCACAATAATTTTCTTTCATGAAAAAGGACTATGTGTACCGATATTGACGGAGTGATTTCATTGCATACTTTGCGAACATGACAGTGGGAGCACAGGTGGGAAAATCGTAGCTGACTTACTGGTTTGCGTGGAGTCTTTATCATTTTAGTACCAATCGAGTTCGCAGAAAGAACAGTAGGAATGTAATGAGAAGGCAAAAATGTGTCCTGAATATCCACGAAGTGTGCAGAGTAAAATGAAGTTGGGAAAAACCCGTTTATTAGATTAATACGATGACAATATTTTTATTGAACAGCGATCATCATTAACCGCTCAGTGGCCACCTCATACCACATACGTTTCCTGCAAAACAACACAACATGCAGCAGAGAGTTTCTTTGAATGAGTTAATAAGATATGCTGTTATCTATTTGCTATTTGTTGCTTATGTATATTCCATGCTCCCGTATTCATGAAATATCCAGCATAATTTTTTGAAATAGAATAAATGATACTATCCCTAAATGAGGAATTGTTTCTCTTGAATAATGTTGCACGCACTCCCTTTAATCTGTCATATCAAATCCACAAACACGTCAAAACCACGATACGTAATGCAATTCACAAATATATCCGTGTGCATACGTATTCCAAAATTTTAAAGAAGACATTTCATCACGCGCGATTTTTGGACAGAAACAGCTCAAGCCGATAATTTGGAAAACGCTCACGGCTTTCGATTGCGCGTTGGGGAACGAATCAACTGAATTTATGGTTTCCCAAAGTGCCATTAGAATATTTCACCTACTGCCTTAGAGAATCATTATCATCATCATCCTCAGAGACAGCAACATCCTTGTGGGCACTGATGATTTAGTGCTGTACAACCATAACTTTCGTCTAGGTATATATAATTATATTTTAAGCTCTAGAGTGAAAAGAAGGGAAAATGTGGGTGAAGAAATAAATCTTTACTTACCTATGTTATTATTCCGGAGTGCCCACACTTCCAAGCGCTCACTCACACGATCTGGGGGGGGAACTGACGGCACGAATCCCCCTTACACCAATTAGCCGCCATTTCTTGCAACGTCTCCAGTTAAGCGCGGATAGGGTCACAAATATCATATCGTGAAAGTCGTACAACACCAAAGACACTGAAACTCTCCGTGATCTCCTTCACACCTTTCTGCTAAGCAGTGTGGTGTTCACCTCTGGGTTTGCGCCATCCTGGAGGAGGCGCAGAGCACAACACACATCTCGGTAGACGGTGTTTCGGCATGTGCAGCACATGACCGAGCTATCAGAGGCGCTGATGGGTGGCGTTTTCCCAGACTGAAGTACCCACCGCACAATCAAATGCCCGTTTTCTGATCGCCTGATGACTAACACACTGAAGTCCACCATAACCAGCCGTGATTCTGGGCATCGGTCTTCGAAAACCTGAAGACGTCTCGCATCGTCTGTCCGCAAGGGCCGTGCCTTGCACCGATTCAACAACACAGTAACTGGTGTGGCCCTGTACGCACGACCCTTAGGATCTAGTGAGATGCCATTTCGTCGCTACAGGTAACGCAAATTGAGATTCTGGCAAAGAGTTCATCAGACACACTTTTGGCAGGGCCAATACAACTACCATTTTATGTAAATTTTTCTACAACCTCATGGAGTTTTTTTTAAATTATAGGGGTATGTTCGCAGAAGACAAGTTTTGATGCATGACTTTGCACCTTGAAGTTGCAAGAGGCATGCCAAAAGAATGTATGATGGTAGTCAGAATATTCAACAAGGTTTGTGCTTCGCTTTTGTTTTGGAAGATCAGGGAGATGTTACCTGCGTACTCCAGTTCGACAAGGCTCCCATCACCAACAATTTGAACACCGGGGTTTTGAAGACCGTCCAGTGTTTCCCACATTATTTCATTATTGATGAAGTTGCACAAGAATGGAGGGAGTGGACACCCTTGTCTGACGCCTCATTTTGCGGGAAAGCTTTCAGATAGCTCACCATATATTCTTGCCCTCCCGAAATTATGTGGGATTGCATTATTTTTACAAACGTTTGGGGATACTCTGTTGAGCAATCGTCAGCTTCGGGACTGAGAAATCCAGTACTAAATTTCATGATGTTATTTTCATTGGATTGGTCAACCTTAACTCAAATCTTACTTCACTTTCATACACAATTCAATAGGCTTTAATTTCTCTTGGTGCCTTTCACCCCATCTTTTTTAACAATAAAGATAATATCCACTTCACTTTTCGCGGTTCGTTTGTGAGACCGGATTTGGTGTGGAAGAATTTCTCATTATCATATAGCCGTTTGTATGGCTGGTTTCCAGTAGGCATATACAAACGATGCTCCTGGCCTAGAATCACTACTGGGTTTTGTGTAACGTTCTCAAATGCGGCGAACCTTTGAAATGTTCGCCAACTCTTCAGAAATATTCATGCTGTCCCAGTTTTGGGATAGAGAATGACCCCGAGTAGATTGACGACAGTTTATCCTTCAGGTAACGTCGAAAGTAATACAACAAACGATTGCTTTGGATTTTACCTCTCACAAGTGAGATAAATCACAATCTGTCAATTGCGGCACACCGAGCATATAGCCCACTAAGTTTGCGGAAATGTTTTGTAGCTGATGACTAAATTGATCCGTCACATGAATTGACACATGGGAAGATAGTCCGAGATATACAATTTTCGTGCGTCAGTACTAGTTTCATATATATTATATCATTACACATCGCAATGCACACTAAAATGAAAACTAAATATCCTGGTTAATGCGGGATTCAACAATAGGTAATTGGCGAACATATTGCTTTGGCCAAGACCGTGTACTCCGCGAGAATTTATGTTCGAATGTTTCCAGGGAAACGTGCTTTAAATTGCGTGACAGGGTCTTCCAGCCTTCAACCACAAATCGCGAGTTTGCTATTGTGGAGGGTAAAACGGACTCAGACAAGATGACGTACGCTTCTTGCGGTTATACCTGAGCATGATACCAGTGTCGAGACGACATTGGTTTACCCCCTTTTACCACTGATTAACCAAAGATGATCCATTGGGTCACACACGAGGATTATTCTGCGTCCCATTTCACTCGCTGATGTGTGTGCAGCCAAATGAAGCTGTCGTAAGTTGGGATGCAATTTCAGTGGCTGAGGTGAAACACCATGTGGGAAACTCTTCCCGTATTTCTAGGTAAACCTTCATCTACAAAACATACATGTGCAGATACATCATCGCGGTTACAAACTTCCTGCAACAGATATCCTGTCCGAGTCATTTTCGTCGTAGCCAGCACACTAGATGTTGGACAATTTTAAACCAAGTCCCAAAGAAAAGCTGAACTAATATAATGGCATCTTAAATAAATGGGTGATTTATGAGAATTCGGCGACTCCGTAGTCGGTACACGGCCTAATTTGATGAGAGATCTTCGGGTTTTGCAATCCCGGGATATAAGTCAACGGGATGTGGTCATGAACAGAATTCCGACGTTAACTGTATGGGCCAAAAGTAACGCAAACCACATCCCGACATGGGAAAGATAATCATGGTAAAATTAGCAATGCAAACGCAGACGTGTGCAGTTCCTTCTCACAAACGACACTCTTCGTCGTCCTATTAATTATTTCGTTTAGAATACTATAAATGGAGGAAGGCCTGCTGTTGCTGAAGACGTTTTTTTGGTCTCAAGATGGTCGATTTGAATACGGAAAAACTTATCCAGTTATTGTGGGTTTCCGCGAGATCCCTGCTATAGAAGAGATCGTAATACTGTGTCATCGACTCCGAGGGAAACCGCAATGAGGAAGATAGTCCGAGATATACAATTTTCGTGCGTCAGTACTAGTTTCATATATATTATATCATTACACATCGCAATGCACACTAAAATGAAAACTAAATATCCTGGTTAATGCGGGATTCAACAATAGGTAATTGGCGAACATATTGCTTTGGCCAAGACCGTGTACTCCGCGAGAATTTATGTTCGAATGTTTCCAGGGAAACGTGCTTTAAATTGCGTGACAGGGTCTTCCAGCCTTCAACCACAAATCGCGAGTTTGCTATTGTGGAGGGTAAAACGGACTCAGACAAGATGACGTACGCTTCTTGCGGTTATACCTGAGCATGATACCAGTGTCGAGACGACATTGGTTTACCCCCTTTTACCACTGATTAACCAAAGATGATCCATTGGGTCACACACGAGGATTATTCTGCGTCCCATTTCACTCGCTGATGTGTGTGCAGCCAAATGAAGCTGTCGTAAGTTGGGATGCAATTTCAGTGGCTGAGGTGAAACACCATGTGGGAAACTCTTCCCGTATTTCTAGGTAAACCTTCATCTACAAAACATACATGTGCAGATACATCATCGCGGTTACAAACTTCCTGCAACAGATATCCTGTCCGAGTCATTTTCGTCGTAGCCAGCACACTAGATGTTGGACAATTTTAAACCAAGTCCCAAAGAAAAGCTGAACTAATATAATGGCATCTTAAATAAATGGGTGATTTATGAGAATTCGGCGACTCCGTAGTCGGTACACGGCCTAATTTGATGAGAGATCTTCGGGTTTTGCAATCCCGGGATATAAGTCAACGGGATGTGGTCATGAACAGAATTCCGACGTTAACTGTATGGGCCAAAAGTAACGCAAACCACATCCCGACATGGGAAAGATAATCATGGTAAAATTAGCAATGCAAACGCAGACGTGTGCAGTTCCTTCTCACAAACGACACTCTTCGTCGTCCTATTAATTATTTCGTTTAGAATACTATAAATGGAGGAAGGCCTGCTGTTGCTGAAGACGTTTTTTTGGTCTCAAGATGGTCGATTTGAATACGGAAAAACTTATCCAGTTATTGTGGGTTTCCGCGAGATCCCTGCTATAGAAGAGATCGTAATACTGTGTCATCGACTCCGAGGGAAACCGCAATGAAACCCAAATTTCGGTGACCTCTTTAGATAGGAAGTTGGAACACGCACAAATCCAAGGTCTTCGACGAGCATTCAGCAATCTACCACTGTCTTTGAACAAGCACTTTGGGTCGGGTACGGGTACAGGCCATTTTATTCCCTCACCTCCTTGTGGCCCGAAACAACGGCCCATGATGAAGCGTAAATACTCAAGTGTCATTCGTTGCAGTGATAAGCAGCGTCAACCAACATCCATTTCCAACCCATTATCACTGGTTATGTTTACGGGTGCGTCCTTCTGGGTATTCCACATCTGCATACGAACATTTTGCTAAATCCACGTGATCATTTCTCCGCGGGTGTAATGTTAGCAAGCGTTGAGCGATATATAAGAAATATCATCTGTAATAATGAGCATATGCCGTGCATCGTTTTGAACTGCCAAGCTTATTTGTGATTTAAAGGTCCTGATATCACTGGTGATACGTGAAAGCATGTACAATTAATCAGTTCGCGTAGATCACAAAGCAACATGCCAGTGAGATCTTTATCGTCAGACGTATGGACCTCATTTCGTGGCTGATCTTCAACTATGGTGGTCAGATAGTTATCTTCAGGCGAGGTTCACTTGTCCTCTTTATCGTTTTGCAGTCCTCATTTGTGATGCTATGCAACATCTGACCCAAAATTATTCTCTAACAGATGAATTCGACAAATGTGTCGCACAACCAGAAAACGAGAATGGCCGCATTCAGGGTGCTCAAATGCAAAATAGAAACTCATTAGCGCGCACAATACCCCTTATCATCAATGTGTTCTATTTCAAAATGCGTTCCCTTGGAGAGGAATAACGACGGATCTTGACACTAGTTTGTGAAGACAACATACTCCAAACTTTCAATGCCGGCTTTGAGGAAATCGAGAGTGTTTGTACAAAAGCTCTCATCTGTAAGCATAAGGAGTAACATTGGATTTCATTGCTTGCCGGCTATCCGGGCGTTACAAACTATGACTTCATGGGGAAGAATAAAGTGCTCACGTCCTACAACCATGTATGATACCAACTGCGATGATGTGTTTTACCAGGAAACTTTTATGTCCGCATTGCATTCCTGCCGTGTAGTCTTTATTAAAAGGGAACTTTCGTNTTTCGTCTATTCTACCTGTGATAAAACCAAACACTGAAGTTTCCTGTCGATGGCAGCGCAAAATCTGCTGATTCTTTTGAATAGATGAGACACAATACAGAAGCTGTTTCAACGCTCCACTTGCAAGCAAAATCGCCTGCGAACCTAAAAATCCACCACCGTCTGTTTACCGGCAGGTGAAAATGCCGCTGGCGTAAATTACGTGCAACAAAACAAAATGTACTTTTTTGCTATGCAAATCTAGTTTTTTATATCAGCATTCAAATTTTATTCTATTACGGTGGTCGGGGAAAGATCTTTAGGCAATTATTCATCCCGGATTTTCGAACTTTCTGTTTGAACTTTCTGCTTGCTTTGCTATGGGCTGTGGTGTACGTGGACACTAAAGCAGTTCTAGTACTAGAAGCTAAGCAGAACCGACGGGTAATAAATAATCAAAACGAGTCTGTCTTATTTGTGATCATGTGTATATCA